AAAAAAAAAGTAAATGGATGAACTTTTGGGGACTTGCCATAGTCTGTCCGCAGGGAGACAATTAATATACGAGGTACGAATTTCAATATGGACATAGAATATTAAAGATGCATTAAACATTGTACGCATATATCTAAAGTAATGTGATGTTTTTGCAGAGACATGAAATGCATAATTATTTTGTCCTATTTATTCAAACACTGATTCATTTATTTTTTGCTTTTTCCATTGTTACAGTTTTTACAGTGAGCTTTTTTACTGCTGAGCAATTGACTGAAGTACACTGTAACCCTTACTTATTCTCAAAATGTAAGGATTCTTTTTAACTACAACTCGTCTGACCATACCCGATGAATCTCTGCTTCTGCTTTGAACAGCAGTTTCACATCATGCTGTTGTTTTGAAATACTCTTTAAGTTCACTGTGCACAACATCTAGTCAAGAACTTTGCCTATATGATGCAATTTTTATTTGCCATTCATAAAGAGAAAGGAGGTCGACATTTGATCACCAAATGAGTAAGTTCACAATACTTGTTAAAACAATATTTTAATAGATGGCAAGGGGGGCAGCTCCACAAACCATGGGCTTATACATATCAGAACAATGACATTTTCAGACTTCTCAGAGTTACATGTACAAAAATCCTTCTTTTTTTAAGTAACAAAATAATATAATGTGCATACCTTGTTCCTTGACTTCAATGGCCCACATTTTCAAGAGTCTAATAAGGGGTCTCTGGGCATCAGCTGCATCAATCTCTTTTTGTGCCTCTGGGTTACTGGTAGCAAGTGATTCTAAGGCACTTGCAGCCTTCACTTGGCAAAGCGTCTTGGTACTCTTTGCTAAAGACACAAGTGGCTTAACAGCTCCTTTGGCTACAACCAGATCTTGGTTTTCCCTATGGTCCTTAGTCAGAGCACTTAGGCATGCTGCTGTGTTGGCTTGAAGATTCTTTGACTTTGTGCCTGAGGTGTAACAATATTGAATATCAATAGCCAAGCTCACCATTGAGTTCTCTGTAGCTCACAAGTAAAGTGTTGCAGTGCAAAATCTAAAGATCAGGGGTTTGATTCCTTTTGGGGGACTTGGATATTTTCAACACCCGATTCTTGAAAAAATGAATAATGTCCTACCTTAAAGTTTAACACTCCTCAAAATAAATGCGTCTCAAGACCATTCTATTAACTGTCCCTGTTTGGAAGCAACAGTTTTTGTTTTCCAGCCCCCGTTAATCTAATAAGTGTAATGGCTTTCTAAATTAACAGAAATCATTTCCAAGAACATTATCTTCTTAGACATGTATAGTCCTGACTGAGCAGGATTGCATTCTTGTTCAAATATCCCTTTCCTTTACCTCACTGCATAAAAATGCATACATTTCTACCCAATCCATGCAGTTTCATATCCACACAAACAAAAATTAAACTTGAGCCACAATTTTCCAAATGACAGTGCATTTGTCTTACTTAGAAGTTCTGTAAGGGTGTCCACAGCGCCACTCTGGGCTACAGCTGTCTGGTTGTCATGGCTGCCATCACACAAGACCCTGAGTGCATTTACACAATTCACCAACACATGTTCAAGTTTAGAGTCCAGGAGCACAACAAGCGATTGTATTCCCCCTGACGAAAAAGTTGATTGAAAAATTATGTATACTAAATAATTTATTACCAGACCTGAAGCCTAAAATTCATAAAAAATACCCACAAAAGATTAAGAAATAAACAGATATATGTATTTTACATACTTGAGTGTGCAAACTGCTATAATTATCAAAAACCATGCATGCCTGCTCAATACTTCATTAACCTTTAAACTTCCAACAGTGACTAGTGTCTAGTTTCTCCTTGTAAAATCACCCCTGAATCACACATTAAGGTCATGGGAATACATAAGATGATCATCAACTAAAAGCAGCTCTTGATCATCCAAAAAATTCTCTATGTCAGCACTATGGGAAATGAGAATAGAACAGTATGGAGAATATGTATACTGATGGGTGGGTGTAGAGGGATAACCTGATTTTAATTTTCTTACTGAATATTTTAGAGATGATGGTTTAAATGACATGATATCAATAATGTGTTCAAACAAAAATACAACTTAAAGTAATTTGAAGTCAATCCAATCTGAATTCTTTACACTTCTCCAAAGGTGCAGGTAAGGAGAATTTGTTGAACAATCAGGAGCTTCTTTATACTGTAATGGTTGGTCATTTTCTTTATTCTCATGAGCTTAATGCATGATTTGGGGTGATATTGCAAGAAGTCATTAGATGCCACTAACAGTGTGGTCACTATTGGGTGTCGAAGGGCGATTAGCACTGACAGGATACAATATTCCCTCGACAAAAATATACAGTAGTAATATGACATCCAGAGCTCAACACCAATGGTAGCCCAATAGCCACAGACTAGTATAAATTCAGTTTTGGCTTGTGATTTTCAATTTCCACCGGCCAGTTTGGCTGGTAAACAAACTGAAATTGTCGTAACATTTAAGATGTCATTAGCTCCTTGGCTAGTAAGTTGAAAAGTTAGTGTCGAGCCCTGAACATCTGCCCATGGAGGAAATAATTGTATATCACCTACAATGTACAACAACATGTACCCACAAATATGTTTTCTGATTTAAAAAAAAAAATTGGAAGTTATAGTGAAATTTAATATTTTTAAAATTTTAACTACATGTTAGTATGAATCACCACAATGACCAGCTCCCAGTTGGCTTGTTAGCTCAGTTGGTAGAACACTGCACCGGTATCACAGAGGTCATGGGTTCAAATCCTGTACAGGCCTGAATTTTTGTTTTTTTTTAGGTCTTATTTTCACTACTGCTTAAGTAGTGCTCCTTACTGGAAAGATCATTCTCATATGCATTTCTTTAACCACAGTTCAAATATATGATTTCCATATATTCTTAACGTGTAACTACATGTATTCAGCACTGTATATCCTCATCATACCTTCCTCCGAGATCTTTTCTTGGTTAACATCCAGACAAGCCAAATCACCAAGGATGACTGCAGCACGAGAGTGGATCATGGGAACAGGTGATGCCAGAAGACTGACAACAACAGGAACTGCATCAGCTTTAGACACTTCTACTCTGACCTCAGTGTGACTTCCAATGTTGCACAAAACAGAACAAGCAAGAGATTGCAGCTCCACATTATCAAGTCGTAGAAGATCAACAAGGGCTAGAACACCTCCTGCCGTTAGGATGGATTTCCAGTTGTTTTTTGCTGCAAGAGACAAGACCTCCAAGCATTTAACAGCACTATGTTTCCTCTTGATGTCTTCAGACTTCAACATGCCGACAAGAAGGTCCCACACAGGGATATCATCGTTGTTCCAGCTAATAAAATATTTTAGTGTGTTGGTGTGAAAGTGAAGAGCAGCAAGATGAACAGGCCCATTTCCTTCCTTGTCTATAGAGGTATACTGTGCTCCCTGCTCAATCAGACATTTTACAGCATCTAATGCCCCACTAGAAGCAGCTAAAAGAATTGGAGTGGACTCTAACTCATCAGTAGACTTGAGTTCTAGTAGTTTGGGCTCATGGCGAATTAGATGCAGAAGGCAGTCAACATGGTTGAAAAAAGCAGCATAGTGAACAGACACCCATCCCTGGCTGTCAAACATCATCACGTCAGCTTTGTATGTCATCAAGCACACAAGGCTATCTAGAGCACCACATCTAGCTGCCAAATGCAGTGGACTCACACCCTGAGATGAAATGTTATTATAGCGACGCACATTCACATCAAACCCCATCACCACCAACATGGTAATAATCTGTGGCCTGTTAAACATAGCTGCATGATGAATGAGAGACAGGCCATATGAGTCTTGAGTTGTCAGACGTGATGGTGGCAATCTACGTGTCATGGTGTGAAATATTGAAACCAGTCCTCTCTGTGCACTTGCTTGCAACCCAGCAGGGATCTGTTTGAGTTTCACAGTTCTTTGATAGCCATATCTCTTTTTGAATTGCTCATGAATCTGGAGCTCATGCACAGGAAGTCTTTTGGGTTTCAATTTCACAATTTCATCATAATGTGCATGTATCCATAATGGATGCTTTGGTGATACTGGGTAAAAGGTCTCCAAGTGAATGTTCAGCACAAAATAACTTTTACCATCAATTTCAACTGCTACCATTGGATAGCTTTCCAACATGACTGTGTCTGAGCTCATTATTTTGTTATAAGCATCAGATGCAACATATTCCAGATTTTCTCGCTCGGCAACAACTGCTGTAGAGATTTTCTGTGTGGGTGGTGTTTCACGGACAAAGGAAATTCCACCATGCAAATGAAAATATTTCTCTGAGTGATCAAAGTTTTTACATTTGAATTCGGGTCTCAAGATTAGGGGTGGAAATTCGCGCTCAGTTTTGCACTCTTCAAAAGTGAATGGTGGAAGAAGTTTGTTCACATCTGGAACCTTGCAACGCTTCTTGATTGCAATCAAAAATGGAACCATGAAACTAATAAATTTAAGCAGACATAGCTGTCGTTTTATGTCTGGTTTGAGAAGCAGGGTGTTCCTGATGAACTCTTGATGTACTCCTAACCTTCTCTGTAGCTTTTCATAACTATGAAGATCAATTTTATCTGATTTAACAATGCTTGAAATGTGATAGTTGGCATCTGTCAAGAATATGTTTTGATGTTGATTGACAGCATTTTGGAATAAAGTCAGTTTGAGCGCCAGTTCATCAACGTGCTTCATAAAATGTCTCTTTTCCTCAACAGCATCTAGGTCATCTTTGTTTTCGTCGGGGACGGAATTGTACGCTTCAGTCAGTTCAGGATCTACAGCCAAATCCAAAATACCAGCCTCTGTCCACACAAGTTGCAAGCTCCTCCGGGTTTCTGGCTCTCCAGTTGTTGTATTTAGATTTACAGCCTGCCTCCATCGTTCAGCAAATTTTGTTCTCTTATCTTTTGGGAAGTATGCCCCATGCCAAAGGCTCTTCATCATGTAATCTACATTTGTCAATATCTGACCGATTCGCGTGTCATAGTAAGCTGGTGGAATTTGACATGATGTGCTGCAATCGTAATTCGCTTCCAAAGTTATTGACGGCGTTTGATTCAAAATAAATATTCCCGTGACCAGTTCACGTACGATCTGATGCATTTCTCGCAATTCCAACGGTTCGATCCCCTCTTCTTCGGGAATAAGAATCAAACAGTTGTTGAAATCGCTCGGAATTTGAATCCCAGCGATCAGTCCGCGTGGCGGTTCAACAGAAATCCTTGTGTCTTCGGTCGAAAGCAGCCAGTCGCAGGAGGTATAAGCGAGTGTTTCTTGCAGCTCGTAACGTTCTATTTTGTCGAAATATGTCGCTGCAGCTCTCGCAGCTGTCATCGACGCCATCACATCAGAGGAACTAGAGGTTCTTCGTCGACCGGTTGTAACACTGGAACTCACAGAGGTCATCGCCGAGGTGATTGAAAGAAACGTAAGCCTAAATCAACAACTTGTTAGTAGTAAAAGCTTCTTAAAGTATTACAAATCGACAAGATTTGCACCAGCAAATATCCTTTCGTGTCTTAACCACCACTCGATTATAGAAAACCATTTTCAATACGGAAAGAAGAGATGCCGCGTCGATTATTTTTATTCTCTGTCCAAAATGTTTTTCGAGTATTGTTAGCGCTGACGTAAATCCCCTAACAACGAGCCCAAACAGACGCTAATTGGAATGATTTGTCGCTCATTGTTGCTGTACACTCACCTGGCTGATGCTTCGTTCTGTTTAGTATTTTACATAACCTGCTTCATTATAACTTATTTACATTTTTCCGTGGCAACTCAAACGCTGGACAGTTTAGGCCTGGGAACAAGATCAAATTTGGCGGGAACACTGAACCTCGTTCCGTATGGGTTGTGTTTTATTTTTTTATTTTATTTTATTTTTCGTTTGTTCCTTTATTTTTCGGTCGTTGTTTCATGCTTTTCACATTTTTGCGGTTTGAATTGAGAGACTTCTATTCGCAAAAGAGGAAGAAACTTACACACATACGCGGTGCTTTTTACATCTAGTCAAGAATTCCTTTCAGTGATGAGGGGGTCGGGGGAGAGGGGATTTTGAAAGATGCATTTCTCTTTTCCCAATCTGTGGTGGTAGTATTCATATTCTTTCCAAAGTATAAATTTTTCACAAAGGGAACGTGAGTACACCTGGTTTCTGGTTTCTGGTCCCCCCTCCCCCATCCCACCTGGTTGCGCTACAGCTGCACTTTTCGATCTTTCATTCCTCCTCGGTGAAATGAGTCAATCAAGAGTTAGGACATATATACACGCAATCGTTTATTTGATAGATCAACTGACTATTCTCAATTCTTCAGTCTTACAATCAATATTGTTATTTTATTTCCATTTGCAGTTATACTGAGGGCCATGACTTCATCAGTTTGATTACTGCTTGACAGAGTCTGAACGGGGTTGACCTACATGCCACAAAAGACGAAAATATAACTGACTACCAACAAAACGCAAAAAAAATAAAATAAAATTATCGAGTAGTGACTAGTAAATAGTATTCAACATGGTTCGACGTTATCGATATTCATATTCAGAAAGAAGAACATTCTAGGTTAGGTGGGGCGACTTTAAATCAAAGTCTATTTACTCACTTTACTTGCCTCTGAGTCGATTGAAGCTGGTTTTGTTAATAAAACTGATGGCCAATTAATCAACACGCTTTGTTGTAAAAAACACTCAGTGAAAAAGGCCACACACATATCTTTCTCCTTACACACCACACTGAAATACACAATCAAATCCTACTTCTCGATGAAAATCAATTAATTAACAAATGAAAAAGTAACACTAGCTGAGAAACTTACATCTATACTGACTCGTTGCACGTAAGAACAAGTGCAATTTAAAAAAAAATACACACATACACCGTGACGCACACATGCTTGAATCTTAAAAGACATGCCGAGATCCTCTCGGCATCAGTTTTCTGTAAGTTCTTCATAAAGTTTGATTAGTTTTCCAGACTCTTCCTCTAAATCTTTGGATGTCTTGCGGAACTCTTTGGCCAAATCACTTCCATTATTCATTTCGTTTGCGCTTCCCACGATATCCCAGATACCGAACGCTACACCAACTACTGCGAACGAACCAGAAAGAACTTTTGCACTTGTTGTCCCGGCGGAGATGATGGTTTTCCCCAGAAGCGGTACTGAGAGCCCTGGGGCTGCGGCTTCGGTCGCTAGGCCAATTCTGGCCCCACTAAGAGCATAATAATCGGCCTGGATAAATTCAACAAGCTTTGTTATTTCCTTGACTTGCTTGGCCTGGCGTGCTGTGTTAATCACGGTATTTCCAACTTGGTAAGCCTTCTTGGTAATCTCTCCTGCTGCCCCGGCCACCTCTGTGAAAGTGTATGCATCATTTGCGAAGGCTTTTCCTTCAGGTGTCTTGAGGAATTCGGCTGCTTTTTCCAATACCTTTAAGTACTCTTTAAGGAACCCTTGTAAACATAAGGTGGCGCGGAAGATAGGTCCTGTTGCTTCATTAACTTTCTTTGCTTCGCCTTTGTCATAAGCAGCTTTTACTTGAGAGCTAACGAGCGTTGTTACTGACCCTGCAGCACCAAGACCAGCACCCGCTGCAGTGAGAGCTAGGCTGCCGCCACCTGAAAATGGGGCAAGAAGAAGACCAACTAGAGCCATTGCACCTCCAACAACAGCTCCACTTCCGCCCGATACTCCTGCGATTCCAACGTCTTTAGTCACTCGGTCCAGCGTGTTTGCACAGCTACGTATGCCTTGGACAGCTCTGTGAACTTTGGCTTTATAATCATCGATACCGTAGCCTATGATGACGTCGAGATAATTGTCAGCCATATTCTTCCAAAATTGTGCCTGGCTAAGAGGATTTGGATCCTCCTGTAGGAGTTTGAAGTCGTCCCAAGCATTTTCGGGAATAAAATGCCATTGCTGAGTCGGGTTGTTTTCCTTTAATCTTCTCATAGAAATCTGTGATGTATAAGGTGCGGCATCGACGGACATAACCAGGTCACCAAAGTTGCTTTTTATTATTCCTTCTTCGACTCGCCACTTTTGATTTGGACCATCCCCTGTCTGCCAGACGATACACCGAGAACCTTCTTTCATTTCTTTGTCTTTGATATCAACTACAAGTGTAAGTTTGGTGACCAACCTGCAACCTTCATCCCATCTCCACAGCTGACTCGGTCCCCCGTTCGCCTCCATTACTTTGATTTGACCACCTTTCATTCTAGTAGAGTTGTCTAAAACCTTTCCATTACTTTTGCTGACAATGAAAAAATACTGCTTTTTGTTTGCATTCATTATATCGTAGGTCTAGTTTGATACTGAGTCCTTCTTGGCCTGATCTTCTTGGTTAGCGTTCCTTAAGCTTGTCTTGAATGCCAAATCTAGGAGGAGAATAATTATTGAAGTAAACTAATAGATTATAAGTAAGCAACCTATTTATATGCCTTCATGCATACCTCAGTTCACATTGAATGGTTTACACATCAAACTCAGTTGAACCAAAATCTTCTATGATAATACCAACAGTATGAAAATTATATGGAATTACAGCTAATGATGAAGAATATATTTTCCCAAGCAAAAGAATGCTTGTGGAATAAAGCTTGCTCTTGTGGAACTGAACTTATATAAGCTTTAACTTGCGATGCGTCAGCGGAAGTCAAAACTAAATATGTTAACAGAGGAACACTTCATGCAGAATGGTAGACCATAAACACGCCAAATAAGCGTTTTAAAAGGAAAATTAATGAAAAACGCGTAACTTTACTTTTCGATGACATCCTGACGTCATTGTCACGTGCGTAAGAGATAAGACGAAAAAGTTTCTATACATCACACTCGCTTACCTCTTCCACGTTTGATGATGTTGACAGGATATTAGGAATTAACCGAGGTTGAGCAGTTGAGTAGAACAACGTTAACTTCGAAAATATTCATGTTCGCTGTACCGTTACAGATATCATTCACTCACTGATCTGTTTATTATAAATCAGTAGTTTCCATCTTAAAGCAGAAAAATACTGGTTCAACTCCATCTTTGATGTCTCTCTACCCATTATATCTTATCTCGTGCTCAGAATCAAAACCAAAAGACATGTGCAACTTTTACAGTGGAAGTAGCGGAAACGAAAAGCATACTTTACCTCGTGCACTTGTAACATCGTTAATGATGAAATTTAGGAACAATTTTCAACTATATTTAAAAGTGTTTGAATGGTATTGCTTGTAACTTATATAATTAACAGCGATTGAGAAACAGTTAACTTGAGATATGAATGCAAGTTATCATTACAGTCAGGTGTTAGCCGCACATTTTAGATTTTTCCAAGGTAAATCGATCTTAATCCGCTGCGTAGTTACTACAGATAAGACCCTTTTGAAAAATTCCATGGAAACTCAGTTATTTTAGGATCATCTTGAACGATGTTTTAAAGAACCAACGCTTTATTGATCACTTGTTACCACTGTAAGCATTTAATTCCGTAAATAGTTGATAAATGATAAAAATTTCGTTACTTACCTGGAAAGAAAGTACGACGTGCTCATTCAAAGCTGACACAGCTCAAATGGCGAGAACCGGTAATTTCTTCATTTTTATGCTTTCTGGTGTGATCACGTGATATTGCTTAGGTTATTCGGGGGGTGTCGAGGATACTTCAACCAATCATATGATGATATCAAAATAGCATTACATCGTGTTCTCTTGATGAAATATAGAAAGAAAATTACATGATTCGGATATTCTTTCTCACATATGGGAATACAACTTTTTTTTCTGCAATTTCAAACATATTTCCTTATTTACCTACAAAGAATACAGAATAAATGATCATCGACTTCCTCTGCGTTTTTTTTTTGTTTATTAAAACGGACGTTTGAAAGAGATGACCATTAAGCGGAAGGAACAACATTCCAATCATTTCTGAATAAGATACACCTGTTTAATTATGTGTTTAGAAGTGTGTTACAATTGCATCCCATCACGGTATGTTTGTTTTTCACTCATTCTTGATCTCCGCAATCTTTGTATCATGATGGTTTAATGCAAAGACGAATTTAATCAGTTTGAACTGCTGTAGCGTTTGAAATAGAACCATGACAAATCAAATAGGTCCTATTCGTAACATGATATCAAAAGAAACAATGAATTTTGGTTGTGGATGTACTTGAAAAGAAAGAAGAATCGTTTGTCTCACGATTAAGTCACTTTCGACGCGATCCACATCGTATCGATTTCCACCCCTTTCATTTTTTCTCGCTGTCGAAAACAAAACAAAATAATAGGTATAACTGCTGTGGTGTCAGTAGCGGAACTGACAAAAGTATACCTGCATAATGTTAGTTCCCTTAAATGTGTTTAGCACTAACGCTTTTTACTTCACTCAGGAACGCGTTTGATTCATATTTTCTTGAAATTTATTGAGAAGTTTCATCTACGTATTAGACTGAACTGACAAACAAATGACTTGGGCAAAATCTAAACAGTCAAAGGACTTAGTGGAGTTCTCAGATTTTTCTTCGTATAAAGCACTCTATTATTTAAAGTTACCAAATTGTTCGATGTTTGTCTTAATTAGCGAACCGCATCCCAATTCATTTGTAACAAGTGATTTGAAGATTCTTTCCTGCCGATATAGATACAATTTTTGCGAGCATTAAGTTTACATTTTTTACCTTAAGTTTGCCCATATAATATCTTTTGAACTTACTACCATTGACTCCTTGTTTATCAATCAAGTCTTTTGCTTCGTCACTGCGGACGATTGTTCAGCACTGATGGTTATTGAGCGGAAGGAAGAACATTTCAAACATTTCTGCTAGGTGTTGCTACCAGTGAGTAAGCCATTGATTTATGTAATGTTAAAAGAGATGTTAAAAAGGTCTCCATGGGGCGATGGCTTTTATGGCTAACGGATTTAAATTTTGGTTATTTTACAGCTGAAGGCTTTAAATTTCTTTCCGTTGCGGTTGACTTTTTGTAAATTGTTTTGGCTAACGACTAAAGTTTTTTTGTCGTTGGCTTAAGGTTAACCCATTGAGACCCTCTGCCGGTTAAGAGGTACAGTTGCATTTTCCTCTTCGTTCATTCAATGATCGTTCCATATGACTAGGAAAACTGAAAAACTATTATCAACTGCTACAACGTCTGCAACAGAAACATAAAAAATCTGCTGTGTTTTTGTCATTTATCTTGACTTCTTCTTGGAGATACAACTCAAGCGAACAATAAATCAGATAGGTGGGAACGATGTTTTCGGTTCGTTAACTGAATTATAACGATAAAACATGAACGTTCTCGAGCGATTATATCATTATAAGCTAACTTTCAGTAATTATACAACACAGGAGAACATTCTCTCCTATAACATTACTCCTTGCCACCTTCATTTTGACGGAGGCACTAATTCGTGCTCTCTTCGTTTTGGTGGAGCTTCTTGTAAAGGCGTATCAGTCTGTCAGTCTCTTTTTTCAGACATTCAGAAGACTGGCGAAATTCCTCCGCTAATTCACGGCTGCTGGCGATCGTCTTTACCCCTGAATATATGTCCAAGATGCCGGCCAGCACTCCAAAACCAGCCAACGATCTGGAAAGATCCTCCGCACGAGTTGATCCAGCTGTTGTAAGGGTTTCGCCTTCGACTGGGAGAGTAAACGCGACGAGCCTCTTTAATTCCTCGGCTTGGCTGGTCGTGCAAGCTGACGCATTGGATTCTGCGCGCGTTAAATGCTTCATCCGTTCTAAATATTCATCTGCTTCTCGTAGGTATTTACTGTACTCACCCAGCAACGAGTGGAAGTTGTAAGTGGCGCCAAAGAGAGATGCTGTGGCCTCATTAACTTTCCCTTTCATCTTCTCGTCCAGTTGGCCGTGTACCAGGTTTGTTGCAAGCGATGTAGCTGTTCCTGTAAACAAACCGACAGCTCCTCCTGCAGCAAAGGGCAAAGTAGCTCCACCTGTAAATGGAGCTAGCGAAAGGCAAACTAATGCAACTGCACCTCCAGCGACTGACACACCTCCACCGACCTTTCTCGCGATACCAGTACCCTTTGCTATCTCTTCTAGGCTGCTGGTACATTCATCTATGACTTTATAAGCTTTATTGACTTTAAGTTCAAACTCCTTAATGCTGTATCCCATGATGACGTCGAGATAACTTTCAGCCATATTTTTCCAGAAGAGAGCCTTTTTAAGGGGATTTGGCTCCGTCAGTGAAAGTTGGAAATCGTCCCATGCATCTTCTGGAACAAAATGCCATTTTTGGTGTTCATTGCATTCATCGAAGCTTTTCATTAAAACATGAACTCTGGGAGGAGAGCCATCGATGACAAGATGACTCAGATTATTTTTAATGGCTCCTTTTTCGACTCGCCACTTTTGGCTGAGGCCGTCGTGAGCTATCCAGGCATGACAGATGGCTTCTTCTTTCTTACTCTCACCTTTGATATCTGCCACAAGGCCCAGTTTGCTGACCAGCCTGCAGCTGTCATCCCATCTCCACAGCTGACTCGATCTTCCGTGATCTGGTTTCACGATCTCAAGAATTCCGCTTTTTATCCCTTTTCGAATATTAATAACCAGTCTACCGCGGCTGAATTGGCTCACTATGAAGAAATATTTGGCGTCATCTGCGTTACGTGGTGGCATCTCCGTCAGTCGACGGCTCTTAAATTATTTCCACTGATCATTTGGAAGGAAAGAAAGAAGGAAGGGTTGATCCCCTCTGTCACGGACGTCAAATTGGGTTACTACCTAAGTAATGAAAAAAAAAAAAGACACCTGCTTGACTGGATCACAGACTTGTTTTGGCGAGATGTCAGACTCAAAGCTCACCAGAGTAACGTAAACGACTGGGAATATTACATGGCCGCTGAAGACACGAATTTTATTTTCGAGTGTTGATGATATCCCTCACAAGTCAGGTGAGTGAGAGAGAGAGATATAATCATTCATTTTTTTCTGCGAGCACACCTTCGCGACGTAGAGAGGAATGACAAGGACACATCGAAACCAGTCGCTAGACATTTTAATTTACCTAATCATTCTAAGCAACATATGGCAATCTGCGGTCTTTCCTAACACTTAGGTAGCACGGAAAGCCGTAAAACTCTTGAACAAAAGCTCCTCTTTCAAACCGGCAGTCTAAATCCCACAGGTATCAACGAACGCTTTTGATTCCACAAATTTATTCGTGTTTTCTCGTTGTCATGTTCCCACCAATAACTTAGCTCCATTTTCTGCCTTTAAAAGCACACACAACCCACAATTCCTCTATTCAGTCCGACGAAGGGCTAACGCTCGAAACGTCAGCTCATTTGTTTTGTAATCGTTACGGTGGCCAATTTACCATTTCAACTTTGTTGATATATCCAAATTAGAACAACTTTATGGGCTGGCTAAGTTACTGGTACCTTCAAGAAATGTGTCCCAGGCTTTTTAGAAACAAATCTGTCCAATATAAGGCATGTTTGCATAGTAGACATTCTTAAATTTGACTGACAAGATTTCCCAGAAAATCTGTAGTTGGCATCAATAATAACATTAGGTATATGTAAGGACAGAATGTGCCTTGTAAGAGGATTGCACTGTATGGCATACAATTCTTTGTCCTAAAGAGTGTCACATAGGTGGATGGATAGAGTAAAATTATTTTCAGAACATGACTTTGTCTCGGTTATATTTCAAAGCCAAATTCTTATTTTCACCAGACAGCTCTTGACCATATTTTAATTTACTGCGATGGTAGTGTTGTCCCGTGTTCAGAATCTTTTGTTTATTTTTGGCGTTTCACCTTCAAAGTGTTCTTTTTAGTGTATGGTGCTGAAAGTCTTCATCATGTCAAAGATACTGCAAATTACCAGTTCTTACTTTGGCAATTCCTAATTGTAACAATACACATAACAAGTTTTTGGATTAATTAGATTTCAGTATATAGGTCACTATCCCAGA